GTAAACCAAGTAAAAGCGTTCTTTGTTAAAGAACTTGGGAAGTACTTAATCCTCAGGTTTTCATTGTTCGAAATATCTCCTGCTTCGATCAAGTATCTCGCCACATGTTCGACAGTAGATTTTATCGTGTCCCCAGAGAACTTAGTGAATTTGGGGACTTTACATCTAGGAGGTAAGTCTGTTTGTAACACGATTCTGACAGCGGGGATGTAAAGTTGGGCCTTCGAAAGCCCATGTTCATCCCATTTTGAGTCATGATCCTTTCGATCATGGTTGCCAGATTGTTTTCCAAACCCATGTTTTGGTATTGGATATGCTGAACTACTTCGTCAGCATTTTGGTTTCTGTTAACTAACCTTACCTCTGGGGTTATTACCCTAGGTTCCTCGACAGGTTGCTCCAATCGTGCCCTAAGGTTTTCTTCGACAGGCTGTTGGACTTGGTTGATAGTGGTTTCTTCCTCTAAGAATACACCCTGGTTTCCCCTTATTTGCGCCCTTTGGGGCTGTCGAATAGGTTGGGGTACTCCAAAGAAATCAGCCAAACGCGACATTTGCGCTGTCATCTGCTGATTCGATTGAGTAGTGTTTAGGGTTCAGCACTGTACTTAAAGTTTGTGCCAACATTTGAACCATATCATGGTTGCTTTCGTCCATTTGTTGCCTCAAGACTGCTGTCGAGGCATTTGTAAGGCCATGTGCTACTTGGGACGTTCCTCCTAAGAGTTGGGTCCTATTTCTATTCGCCATACCTACTCCAGAACCTTGGAGTGGCGAAGAGGCACTCACTAAAGGGTCTGAAAAAGTGGACGCAGCATTCGTCAGGCTAGCCAAGTCAGAAGTTGGCATGCCATAGAGTGGTTCTCGATTATGACCGCCTGTCATAAATCCTGGGGGAACAAAAGGCCTTGTGCCTAAATTTCCCCTTGGTGGGGGAGTTCCCAAAGGCACTCTGGGGCCTGTGAACGGAGGTAATGGCCCCGTTGTTGTGACCGTTACTGCTGGTGTTGAACCAGCGGTTATCGCTTCACTTACGGTCGAGATAACCGTTGCTCCCACATTCGTTTGTGGGATTTCGTTATTGTTTGGCGGATTCGCCATCTCTTCCCTTCTTCTGGCAGTATTGGTATCGTTAGTGTATATTCTACCACTTCTCAATAACATACAACACTCCTCGAAAAAGATGAGATTATGTTTAAAAGGTTAAACTTCAAAAATCAACACACAGTCCCACCGGGTGTGCCAATTTGTTTACCGTGGTATTTGGTAAACAACCGCTGATCCTCCAAATGGTTACTTATTTGGTTACTCGCAGGATCGATCAGATTGATCCTAAGACATAGGTTGATTTTGAGGTTTTGATTAAGTTGGATAATGGTAAAGTGACAAGAAAATAAAGAGGCTTTAAGTAAAGTGCACGAAGAAATGGGCTTGATAAAATAAATGAAGGCTTGAAATAAAAAGGCTTCGACAGGAAAAGTAAAGAAGAAAGCAAGTAAAGTTTCTGGAAAGTAAATGACTTTGATTAATAAAAGTGGTGTTTCACACATACATTCTCAACAATTCTTTCTCACACGCTGGGTACTCGAATCTATATGAGTGACTTTGTATATATTTGTGAACACACGCGAAAAACTGCGTGAACTACTACTATTTATACTAAAACATCCCAAGTAACCGTCGGGCAGTTACACTGCTTCGAGATGACTCCACTTGGCACGTTCTCAGCGTTCGACGCTCCAGATCTTTGCACGTTGCACTTGGTAACCGCTGGAAACCGTTTTCCCTCCAAACGCTTGAATTTCAAACCGTTCCACTCTGAACCATCGAACACCTTCGTCGAGAAGCATCTTCGACGAGAAACACCCTCGACGTCGAAGGCAACCAACTTCTCCCTTGGAAGAAATCCTCTAAGTACATTTCCATCTTTCGATGGGCATTTCGACAGACCCAGCTGGTCGAAAACATCCTTCAGCTTTAATGGCTGATATTAATAAAACAAGGGTGTCGAATTTAGGAGCCAACACCAATGAGATTTGTCGATCCTCATGAATTTGAATTTCTAAAGGGATATAGCCTTTGACTATCTGCAATGTGTCATACCCCAAAATTTTCCTACCCATATACTTTTTCCTGGCTTATGCATCATCATGTACATACCTTTCCATTAGGTCATTTAACATATCATGCATCATTAATCTATAAATTTAGCATGAGATCAAGGGTATTATCGAATTAGGGTTTCTTTATGGTTGTAAGGCTCTTACCTTCATTCAAGGGATTCAAGTTGTTTCTTCAACAATCGGGACAAGATGCTAGGGTTTTAACTTGTTGTGCTTCCTTAAAAGTTTGACTGGGGATCTTTATGAACTAGGGTTTTGGTTATCTCCATCACCTCGAGCTACTTTCAACATCAAGATGCCTCAAAAGCAAGAACCAGGGTTTCTTATCCACCATGCTTGAGCCTTGTTAATCCATCATCTGATGTTCATCTGCTTAGGGTTTCATAGCATGGGTAGTTTGGTGATCATGTTTCCTATATGCTTCAAATATCTTTCAAAGATTCCTCAAGGCATTGGTTTTGTTTTAAGATCAAGATATCATGTGGTTTGGATTGCAAGATATAAATCATGGCATAAGAGATGAAGTCGTAGGTTTATTTTCCCTTCATTTTTAGTTGTTGCTTGCAACACAAAAAAAAAAACTTGAATCAAGGTTAAAGATTATTAAGAATGCAAGATGAATGGATTTGAAGTTTGATTCAAGTGTTTCCCTTAATCCAAATTTTGTTCCAGGTTACCAAAGATTATAAGCATGCAAGATTGAGGAATTTGTTCATGAGGATTTCTTGTCATCCAAGTTAAATATTCAAGGAGTTACTCAAGATCATACAATCATACAAAGCATAAATCATCACAAATTCAATGATTCTTCCAAATTCTACATTATTCACCACTCAAAGCTTGAATCAATATCATTCATTCATTATCATTCCACACAATTCCTATTCTAAAAAGTCTTCCATTCAAAAAGACGGAGCATTTTGAGGACAAATTCACATGTTGAAGGAGGAGATCAAGGAACTTTGGTACATTTTATTGCCATTTTACCAACTGCATGAGAGAAGTTTACACTTCAGGCTCATTTACATCACTACATCACCATGACAAGGAAGTTACATAGTACAAAATCAAGAGAAGAATATGAATTGTTTTTGAAGAAGAAACTTGATTTGAATATGTGGAGATTCGTCATTGGATTTCACGAAGAACGTTACATCATGGCCATTACAAAAGTACCTACAACATTTACATGAAAACCTATGTTAAACCTAAGCTAAGTCTTCTTCATGCTATGATCTTCAAATTCTAGGCCCATGCTCAATGATTGTTGCCTTTCTATCTCACATCAAAGCTCCATCATCCTCAAGAGCTCACCATGCTCCATGTTTTCACCATTATCAATCTTCATGACCAAGCCTTTTACAAGCCATGATCTTGACAAAACCAAGGCTGCCCTGTATATATCAATAAACCAAAACAGATGGCATTAACACTTTGAAGCAACCTGCATCATTCAAAAGCAGATCAAAACAATAACGAGCCCAGAAAAATTAACAATCAAACTAGTTCATAAAGATAAAAACCAAGGCGGTAAACTAGTTCATAAAGATAAAAACCAAGGCTGTTCAGCATAGCCTGCAATCTAACATCATGTCAACCCACAAAACAGTCCGGGCTTTATCCATTCATAAACCAATACAGGCAGCATCGCATCCAAATTCACACTAAAAAACATACAGTCCGGAGAACCATCCAAGCAATTCAAAACCAAGATTATAATATTATCTCATTTAGCCTATGCTAACTCAAATCCTAGTCCATACAACATATCAGCACATCATTACTACAAATAAAACCTTACCCTGCAGACGAACACAAGGACTGAATCGACTAACCGTTCCAGTTCATTAATACGAAATATCAAAATTAGAACCACAACAGAATCAGCTTTAATACATTAGCCGCTAACTGTCGAAGCAGTGTCAACTAATTTTCAACCACCCTCAAGTTATCATCAACCTAATCCTCCTCACCATTTAGACTAGCCTGCAACTTCCATCTATCTAGAATCATGCTCATATCGACACAAATTCAAGCTACAGGCAGAATTGCAGTACAAGTCTACAAGAGAATATACACTAGACATGATACAAAGCTTCAAGCCATATCCACATTTCAATGAATTCTGCAGTACAAGTCTACAAGAGAATATACACTAGATATGATACAAAGCTTCAAGCCATATCCACATTTCAATGAATTTAAGCCATGGATCAGTTTCAAGCTGGTTCACCAACATACAAATGTTCAATAGAGGTTCCATCAACACGACAAACCCGCAAGTTCGAGACAACATCCACCAACAGTTTTAATAATAACTACTAATAGTTTTGTTTTCTAACTAACAAGTTCTTTTAATTAACTTTTTTACTAACAGAATTTTAATCCAAACTGTTAACCAATAAATCGAACCAGTTCAGAAAAAGCCAACATAACTTCCAGCTTCACTACCTAACTGCCTGAGACTTTCCCACCCTTTTTCGGTTTAGAATTAACTTCAATCACTAACACCCAATCTAACAGTTTTTTCATCCTATAACTAACTGAAACTAACATTTAACAGAAAAAACTAACTCTAACAGAATCCTAACAACCATAACAGACCCAACTAACTTCCCTCTTAACTATACTAATAGAAATACTAACAAAACTTAACAAAGTGATAACTAACTACCAACTCAGTGAGTTAACATAAGCGATTCACTGAGTTTATCCCAACAAACTCCAAACCTCTTCATAACTGAAACCGAAGCTAGCTCCAAACCAGATCCTATCCAAGCCACACCTATATAACCTCTTCATCCTCTTCAATTCACCTTCACCCACTATTCTTCAATCTCTGAAAAATCCCTACCAAGAAAACACAAAAACCTTTCTCTCATTCTTCTCTCTGGAATTCCTTCAATCTCTGAATCAACGATTCTTCATCATCTTCATCATACTCCATCTTCCTCTTCCATAACTGAATCTTCACCGCCGCATAATCGTCATCATCATCACTTCAAGCTTCGTCACATCTGTTCCGTCACAGAAAACTTCGCAATAGCATCTTCTTCTGAACATTATGGCAACAACACTTCAAACAATCTCCTTCACCGATCTTCATCGATCAACAAACAGCGCATCACAATCTCATCTTCAAGAATCAATAAACAAAGAACACACAGAAAAGTGAATCGGAGAAGAAGTAGAAGACGAATTCGAAATACAAGGCTAAAGAGGACGTACCTGGGCTATCAGAACCTCCTCTCTGGTTTTCTATTCACACTATTCCAAACGGCTTTGCAGGTAAGTCGTTGAAAATTCTATTGCTTCGTCTTCTTTTTATTTCGTTAGGATACCGTTGCAAATCGGAGTTGACGGACGGTGCTTCGAGGCCGGAGATGATGATGAATGAGCAGCGAGGTAATGGAGATTAAGAGGTGTCGTCGCGATGAAGACGGAGTTGAATCGAAGGAGATCGAGGTCGGGCAGAATCGAAGCAACATGGCGAAGCTTTGAGACGGAGATGAATCGAAGGAGATCGAGGTCGGGCAGAATCGAAGCAACATGGCGAAGCTTTGAGACGGAGAGATCGAAGGAGAAGATCGCCCCTGTAACATGAAGGATGAGAGAGGATGAGAGAGGCGGAGATAGTCGGAAATCGGAGGAGCTAATCAGAGAAGATAGCGTTGAAGGTTGAGGATTTTGCAGCGCTGTTTATGCCGAGAGACATGAGGGGTCTGTTTCGAAGAAGCTGAGGAGTCTCTGTATGTTGAACCATAACAAGAGATGACCAAAACTCACCGTTTCACTATTTTTGTTTTTGTTTTTATTTTTTAATTGTTAGTTTGAATACTAAATCAAATTTAATAAGTTGCTTAATAAACATTGGACTTGGTGAATATGTGTTATTTGGATCTATTGAGCTATCTACCTGCTACTCCTCATAGGTCCAAAAGACTCGCTTTTGTAACAGGAAGGTGGCTTTACTGAAAAAAAGGTTTAGTGGAGTGCAATTTGGGCCTAGCACCAATTTACTACACTAAACTCTCTAGTTCAGCCATGCACCCCTGATTATGCTATGCTTCTTGTTATATTTAAGATTTTGTTTATAATTTTTTCTATATTGTTTTTTATGATAAAAATTACAAAATTAATAGTTAGATTTTTTTATTTGATTTTAGGAGTTAATTCATGATTATTCGATTACTCGAGACTTGTGATTCACTCTTACTTGTCGAGATTTGAGTCTTATGCATATTTATTGCATGATATGTGGATATGTTTGAGTTTTCGATTGTGATTTATTTTCACAGCGATAATGCTTCGATGCTTATTTCGAGCATTTGATTTCTGACTCTTTTCTTTGATTGGTGAAGCTTTCGCGAAGATCTCCGGGTTTCTTTGCTTTGCTTGCTTGCTACGGGCATTATTGTTCATTTGGTATTATTTCGATTCTGGTTTTATTTTCTGCATTTCATTTTATTTTCCTTGCTGTTGTACCCCAAAATTTGCCCTCTCATTTTCTTCAAGATACCTTCTCATGCTTCTAGGGTTTTCAATTGCTCAAGGTTGCTCAAGAATTGATCAGACAAATTCTCCTCCTAAACAAAGGACCTACAACTAGGGTTTCACTCTTCTCAAGAAAGATTGAGCTTAGAATGCCTCAAGGGGATATCATGGTTTCTCATATGTCTCTAAGAATGCCCATGTCAAGTTTTAAGCCTTGCATCACAAGTTTGCTCAATCAATTGCTCAGATGATTGAAAATCAGCTGTATTGGAGAAAAAGTCTATTATGGTCAATTTACAGTCAAACTTCAAGATTTTTGGTCCACATCAATATTTTTAAGTCATATTCATCATTTGATCAAGGGTTGATCATGATTCATCAAGAAAACTCAAGATTAATCAAAAATCAAAAGTTACTAAATTAGAATTTTCTTAAGGAGAAGTCAACTGAACTTTGACCAAGCATAACTTTCACGTGCTTCATAATATTTTTCTCAACCAAAGCTCATTTTAAAGGAAATTCAATTCTCTATATCTTTGTCTCTCAAAGCTCAAGTCCAAAAAATGCTTTATTTGAGAGATATGGGCTAACACATTATAGGTCATTTCAAAAGTCAATAAAAAGACACTTTTTGTCAAGGAAACTTACATAAAGATAATGTCTTCAAACGCAAAAATTACCAACATAGAGATTGTAGGGGACATCTTAAGCTTTCTAAAAAGTCCAAGATCACCAGCATATGATAGAAATTGAGAGAGTTATCATTGGTGAAAGTTGGGAAATTTTGAGAAAATACATGAAACCTAAAGTGACCAAACTTTAATTTTTGTGCTAGTGGGCTTGTGTTTCAAGATCCATACGTGTTATAGGCATCAATATGAACCTCATAACTTATTCATACACCCCTTGGATTTTTTATTCTATTTATCTTTGATTTTATTTATTTAAAATTCAAAATAAATTAGATAAAATAAGAGCCTTTCATACAAGGTCCAAGCCCACACTTGTTTGACCTAATTCATCCCTATATATTCTATGTATTTCAGACAAAGCATGACACGAAAACCTTGCACAATATCACTTTTCCAAAATTCCAAAAAATATCAAAACTAGGGCAAAACGAAACCCTACCTTGTAGCCTCCCTCAAGGCAAAATACTTGTCCCATTCACTTCCAGAAGTACTATAGGGTAAGAATGAATCAGCTTTGAAGATCCAAAGGGCCTGAAACCCACATATATGCTTTGTCGGTTTCCAATATTTCATGACATTCATGTTTTTGTTTTCTTTGCGCTTTGATGCATACTAACCTTACTTATATGTTTTTGAGATATCAATGTACAGGATGAGACCATCGCATGGCCCTCATAATGGCTGAATCACGTTTGGCCATGTTTACACTATTTTAAGTTGCCTTCTTTATATCTTACAATCTAGCATGATTTAGCCAAAACTAATACTCCCATTGAAATCGTAAGGCCCAAAATAGGGGGTGGGGACCCTGGCTATTACTAACACTCCCTATTTTTACAGGAACAGGGAACAAGCTCGCTGGAGAAGACGACTGGAGCTAGGGATCCGGTGCTTCTCCGACCCAGTCCAATAGCCTTATTAGATATTTAATTATTTTCACAATGTTATAGGATAACTCAGCCACCCCAATGACAAGGAAGCGTGCGTTAAGGCATTTGTGTACAAGGGCATGGGTTCGATCATGCCTTTTGACATTTTATTTTTCATATTTTTCATATTTTACAGGTTTTGATATGTAGCACGCTGATCCTATTCTCCTAACATAGGCGTGTGACTGGTGCAGTGGCAAGGTAACCAGTGGAGAAGGCTAAGGGCATGGATTCAACATCCAACCCTGGCATTTTGCTTGATTTTGTTTCCAACTTATTTTTTTCTTAACCCTAATTTTGGTTCATTCTAATCTTTTTAACCTAATTTTTTTTCACTTAACCATTAACAACAAAACCCTTTGTTACAAACCCTAATTATTTAGGTTTTAGTTTTTTTAATTAATTTAATTAATTAACTCTTTTATTAATTAAAATTAATTATCTTTTTAGGTTTATCTTAATCATCATCAAAAACCTTTTTTTCATAAAAAATCGCCAAACAATATTTTGTTTTTCCTCTATCCTATTTTCCTCTTATTTTAAATTCATAGATCAAATTGTATAGGTTTCGCAATTGTAATAGCCTAGATTTCCCGCTTTCTTTTTTCATTATTATGTACCTGCCTCCCGGGATGTAATAGTTAGGTTTATTTCTCACACATCTATTATGTATCTGCCCCGAAGCCATGTAATAGCGTAGGAACTTTACTTTCCGCACTTTACTGTTTTTTATACTTGTTATTACTACTTAGTAACCAGGGTTTGTATGGAAAGATAAAAATCAAACGATAGAAAACCCTAAATTCAAAGATAAATAACTGAATACGACACATTTTTCACACTCGCACCTCTAAGGTAACCTCTCTTGTCACCTTCGGAAAAAACAATGGTCATGTCCCTCGAAAGTAGAGACGCTTTGGGAAAGTCCCTCGAATAAAAGATCATAGTCCCTTGATGACCCTTTCGACGTTGCCTTTCGGTAAATGATCTAGTCCCTTACAAAAATTGCTAAAGCATCCTTACTAGTTGCCTTCGATGACCGTACAATGACCCTACGCCTGTCCCTTCACATCTAACTATAGGACTACCTACCAACTAATGGTATGGATAGCACTATCTAAAGGAGAAGGAAAATTACAAGAACAACCTTGAGTGAGTAGAACTTTTAATCACTTGCTCACAAAAACAAAATATTTCTCACATCACACTTTCAAAATATTTTCAAACACTTTGTACACACTCTTGAGGACCGATGCAAGAGTTATTAAAAAGTTCGCCTTACATTGGAAAACTTTCAAAATATTTTTAAACACGCACAAAAAGCAAATTTTCAAAAGTGAGCTAGTGATTAAGAACCCATAGATAACTACGAATGAAAAGGGTTCTAACACCTTCCCTTTTCATAACCTACCCCCTAAACTCAAAATCTTAAAAGGTTTTTCCTGTACTTTTAACCCTTTTCTTATTGGATAAAAGAAAAGTCAGTGGCGACTCTAGCTATCTGCAACAGTTGCGATAAAATGCAAAACAAGTCAGTTCTCCCACCGTATTACAGAACTGGCGACTTTGTTGGGGAATACTTAAAAAAGAGGGGTTACCTTAGAGTCTAGATAACTTTATTTGCTATTACTTGTCTGCTTTGTTTGCTTTAAATTTGAGGGTTGCTCGGGTTTATATTTCTTGCAAAGATCTTACACCTGTATCTAGGGACCTTAGGTAAGTAGCAATAGATCATGGAAACTGTACAACATAGACCGATATGGTTGAAGTGATGGCTACGTTAGTGTAAAACTTTGGTTTGTACCGATTTTCTTTGAGTCAGTCGAGGAAAACATTGGGTTGTCGCGTGGTGTCATAAGCACTAAACGACTTCGAGAAAACATTGGGTTGTCGCATTGTACTAAAATAAAAACTTCGAGAAAGATCTGCGATATGAGATTCCTAGAATCCAATTACTATTTTAGGACAGGTTGAGCCAACTAAGCTTCAATAGAAAAGGGTACTTACCTACGGACCTCATGCAAGCCTTTAAACCTAAGGCCTTTGTGTGATTTGTTTGTGTTTGTTATCTTGTTTAAACATGACATCATAACATCATACCATGGCATTTTCACTAACCCTTTTCAAGGATCTTAGGGACCTGTGGTGCAGGTTTAGCATGAACTAGACTTCTAGCAAGGGGAAAGAGGATTTATTTTCCTCTAGCCAGATGCCGTCAAGATCAAAGTACATCCTCGTGAGTCAAAATCTAGGACCCACTTGACATGGTGAGCTTGATTCTTATAGAGGAACATTCAAAGATGAAGACTCGAATCTCTTCAGACAAAGCTGCGGACTCAACTTCTACTATTTCATCTCTTTTTTGTTTATCCTACGAGATCCTTGAAAATATTGCATATGCATCCACATACCATACATATCATCACATAACAAGTTTTCCCAAGACAGGTTTTCTCATCTTCTTGTTGTTTATTTCAGTAAAAGATG